GGCCTATATTTGGATCTGATGTCAACAAATGCGAGCATGTAGATTTCATGTCTCTGACCGTATGCATGGTCAAGCAGTTCGTTTTCAAAATTTTACCTCCATGTTTTGTCAGCTTGGGAGTTGAGTTATCCACGTAGGAGCATTACTTCCTAGCTCAACTGCAACCAGAAATAAGTCTCCGCTACCTCTTTTCTGAAATATGGTAATACAAAAATTTTTCCCGCTGAATATTTACTCTTTTCTTTTATATACGTTTCTTCATCTGTACCACTTCTCAATTTCATGGCTACTAATGCATTGCTTACGAATTTTCCCAAAACTAGAATTTCCATATCGGTACCCTCTTTTTAACTCAGAGATTTCTCTCTTATGGTTTTCTGGAAAGTTGTCCGAGTACCTGTAATTTGCTTTTGGAGGCCATTTGACTTGATGAGGGGAATAGGCTTCAGCAATCCACAGGGAAAACAAGGAAAAGTGGTGGATCGAAACAAGTGACGCGGCCTATGCTACCGGATTTGTCCCTGTTTTTCTGAAACGAATTAACGGCATTCATCTGCCCAACCGGTCCTTCAGAGTTCAATTTTTGAGCAAAGCGCCCTTTTGAGAGTAGCAGAACAAATCTGAAAAGGGTGAAGTGTTCTCGAAGGGGGCGTTTTTTGTGTGTGGGTGTGATAGGTCATATGTTAAACGGGTTTCGATTTTAGTCCTGTCATCTGAAGGAGTCACTGCAAAACCTCGCATTTTTCAGAGCAAAAAAAAAATTACGCAGGGCGTGGTTTACTGACAGCTCGTCGGAACCACACATACATACAAAACGACGGACATAGAAAACCACACACACACACACGCACACACACATACACACACATACACATGCCCACACATACACAGACACATGCACGCACATTCTATGCGTCGCATTTTTCAGTGCAACGAAATGCAAGAGGTATTGCTAGTCAAACGGAACCAATCAGTCACTGAAAGGTGGTATCAGAGGTGTCGGAGCGGAAGAAGACACGTGGAGCTGGATGGAGCAGGCAGGAGACGCAGCTGATGGTACCGAGGGCCATAATGAGGTACTACTGGGAGGGGACGCTGCCTGTGAACCCTCAACAAGTGCGGCCGGAAAGGAGGCACACCTTGCCACGAATCACAATGGTCAGCAGATGACGGTGTTCAAGGATGCACATCCGTGGGAAGCTACAGCTGGACAGTTGTTCGGCAGTTCCGAGAAACCACCAGGATCGCCGTCAAGCACGACAGCGCCTCCTGTTCGCAAGCTGGCGGTCGCATCGAAAGTGCCGGCGAAGCGTCTGCTATGCGGAGCCAAATCGGATGCCGCGCTGTTCCCGAGTCCTGCACCGCACTACACCCGCTCACTGAGCAAATCGGACTTAATGGAGCTGAAGCGAAGCATCGTCAAGTCGGACTTCAAGCCTGTTCAAGATCCGCTCTCAGCACCGAAGCTGACGAAGAATCATTCATTCGACTGTCATCCATGGCACCATAGTCCAGTATTCGGGATTGGTGTTTCGGAATCCAATCGAACGTCGCGGTGTGGCTGTGAAAGTGTCCTCGATTCCGAAGAAAGTGATCATTCTCGACCGTCAGTTCTGTTTCCGTCTGTCCGGTGAGCCTCTCGTTTAAAAATTCCCTTTTTAAAGATTTGCATAATTGTGAAATGTGTGAAATCATCCTCACAAATGTAACTGGAAAGCAGGAGGGCGACTAAGGTAGGGTTAGAGAAGACTGCTGCTCCAGTAAGCGCATAGCAAGTTTCCATTTTTCTGAAATATTGTATTTTTTAAAAAAAGATTTTCCTTTTCAGTGTACATAAAAAGATTTTCCTTTTCAAGATTTTCCTTTTCAATGTATGACTAATAATTTTTGACTGTGAAACACTGATGAGAGGCACTTTTTCATCGAACAGGATCGCTTTCTCATAAAACGGGGTATCCGGAACTCATACATTCAGTTCTTAACGCACTCCTCCCCAGGTACTCACTGTTGTGGAACAGCGCAGAAGGACTGCTGATAAGTGAGTTGAAGAGCTGCACGTCGTGAAAGGAGTGTGAACTTTTGCACTTTTTTTACGGAAAAATAGAGTAGAAAAGTGGGAGAAATAAATGCAGGCGATCAGATGATGCAGCATCGGTGACAACGTGCTTTAGAGGTGTTACAATGTTTTACTACAAAAAAGCAGCTGATCAAAGTACTAATACAGAAGTTAAGGAACTGACGTTTGGGGGCATCATTCATGCTGCACTTCAAGTTTCAGCTTTATCTTGTATCCTTAAAAATCCGCTCAGCTAGTGACCTTTTCATATACAAACTGAAATATGCCAGTTTAAACAGACGGAGTTTCCCAACGTGCTATTCCTGTTAAGCCGATAATTATCGGCAGTTTCATCATGATCATATTAGTATCGTTACTACTGAAGTACTTATAAGCCATTTATTTCACGAAATTAAGTGCCCTTGTCAAAAAAAAATCCCACCTGGGTCACTGCAGCACTAACTGTAGAGATTTGCTTGTGTAGTGGTTGCCATCTGAAAAATGCATTTTCTTAAATAGCATATAACTCGGAATCAAACTGCTGTCTGCGCAACAATGCATATCAAAAAAATACTTGCCCATATGTTCGATGGTAGTACCGCGGGTGCGATAGAGAATTTTCAAAATTCTGCCGGTGAGGCAAAAATGAGGATGACTTCTTATCTGTTTTCCTCTCGAACATATTAACAAATATTTTTGATTAAATCGTTAAAACTTTGGTAAGCGTATTATTAGTACTTATAAAAATGCCGGAGGGCATGGCGCTGAGGGAAGCAGTGCCGCTATTATGCAGACCAAAGTTCGATTCCACCACTGGGACAACCAATGCCTCTACGACTCGTTTATTTCTTTCACTGCTTGTTGTTGAGATTTGCTATCACTTGGCTACTTTCCAAATGCTTCTGCCTACCTCTCACAGAGAATGACAAGAAAGATGTATTGACTTTTAACTTATTAAAATGGTAAGTGAGAAATGGTTCTAAAATAGTAATATTGCTGTAAAGGAGGCAAAATTTAGCATGGCAAATGACGAATAATTCACTCTAGCTGTTTATGGCAAATTATCATGTTTTTGACAGTTATACATTTCTTTTCATCTTGTTTCCCTTTCCAGAATGCTGTACAGTGAGGGTTTTTTTTTATTGGCGCACATCTGTGGAATTTCGCTAAAAAAGAAGCGTTCAGCACTTTTTAAAAAGATATAAAAAATATCTTTTTTTTTAGTGAGACTGCAAAAAATACAAAATTTTATGAAATTGATTTCAGTGCTGGGGAAAATACTCCTTATTTTTGAAAAGTAAAGACACCTTAAACCATCTGCTTCCCACGCCACCTACTTGTAAAGATAAGGCCACCATTTTAACGATCACTGTTTCTAGCAGAAGTTTAACATACAGGTTTCCGGTGCCAGATAGCAATTAACATTTTAGTGCGTTTCGTCAATGTATGAAGGGAGATGGGAGGGAGAACACGGACACGAATGTACGAGAGACAGAGAATCGTTTGGAAACACAACTTACACACTGCTATCTTATAAATACATTTTCAAATGCCTCGTTACAAAAAGTCTTTGAATTGTGGCGCAGAGTAATTGACAACCCGCATTAAGGTTGGTGTGCTGATACGTTTCTCCGATAGTTTCTCCCAGGGGCGCTTGATTAAACCGGACTGGGATACGGGCAGAGATATACTTGATCACAATGATCGAAGTCGAAAATTTCGAGTGGCGTAGCACAGAATCTTTTATGGAAAGAAGATTATAGATACGAACACAGTGAGTTCAGAGAACTGATTCTAAGTCATCAACTCCCTTTCGGTTCACTTTGTGATTACTCAAAAATCACAAAATTTGCCCGAGCTTGTTCTCAAAATCCTAAGTCTTAACATCGATGAGGGTTGGAAGTTGAACTTGGATTATTTCCCGCTAATATTATTCGATGAAAGCCAATTTCGTGTTTTGACTCTGCACAGGGATGGAGGCTATTTTCTCAAAATTTTAGCTTCCGAACTTTGGTCGTTCTAAGATTGAATTATTTAAATAGGCTCATATGCATACATACGCACAGTATATACATGTACTGTGTCCTGACCTATAACGGCATTGTCAAATACAAGCTGATACTGTGCTCTCACAATGGAATGGAGCTGAGCCTACAGTTCTAATACTTTTATGTTTCGAAAAAAATCACAAAAGCACCAGCTACATTTTATATCTATTGGCCCAGTCGTCTATTCAGGGAGACTTATCGAAAAGTAATGTTGTTGCATCGACGCCTAATGCCCAGTCCTGCATTTTCGTATTTTTATATTATCATCAAAATAAGCGACTATTCCAGGCTACTGGTTGCTACTCTGTTATGTTGCTGTTTCATTGCGCTCTCTGTAAGTACTTCGAATATGGCTGTGGCGCTGATTTGCATGACTTCTTGTCCAGTGAATGCGTATAAGGGTGATCTGCACTGGAGAAGTGAGCAGGTAAAGTAAGTTAGCTGTTCAGCTAACAAGCTCTCATTTTTGTGCGGGGCGGCGAAGGCTTAGTAAGTTACAGTATCACAAAGAGCTACACAAAGACATAGGCGGATCTAAGGTGGTCCCGTGGGTGGAGGTGGAGGGGGATTTTTTATTTTCTTTTCTCCCTTCGTCGCTACATCCTTCCCCTCCTCGCCCAGCTCCCAGCCCACTCTTCAATCGTCGCGCTGCAACCCCTCGAAGACCTCGCTGCGTCCCCCCCCCTCCCTGCCCTCACCAATGAACACTGGACTGGGACTGACAAAGCTCCTGGAGAGGGGAGCGACAAGGGATACCGAGCGAAATTTTGTACAGTAAAACAGCTGCTACCTAAACTCCTGTGGGAGAGGGGAAGGCCAAAGGCTCCTCGCCCTCTTCCTCCCTCTGGATCCGCCAATACACAGAGAGGTCCAGGAGGTAATTCAATGGATGTTAAGTCGTGAGTATTTAGAGTACAACTGGCTGTGCTAACAATAAGAAAATTTAGGAACCACATTGCACCAAATAGTTAGATAGCAAGAAATGACTTTACAGCTTTAGTGCGTATTAAAATGTGGTCGCAGGTACGCATACAGACAAATATTAGTCCTAAAAGAAGGCCTGCTAAGAATTCAAAGATTGAGAATTTTTGTCCGACGCAGAATGCGAGTCAAATGACATGGATTTCAGAATTCAACATGATTTGATCTATGAGTCCAGGTGCAAATTCAGGCTAATTTTTAAATTTCCAATTTAGTTCAGAGCTGATAATTATATCTACCTGAATGAAACATACCATAAGCCATAATTTTGTTAGATTAAACGCGCAAAATGGATCAGAAAGCATGTATTATATTCGATCGGTCTCCATGAGTTTTAGCACCATCTGCTGCTTTTGGTTCATTAGCTACCGATCACAGAAACATGATTATGTGAACCTCCTACTATATTGTGGTATTTATTTCTGATGATAGATAGAACTATTACATAGATATATGCAAAACGTAGTGGGGCAGTGACCTGGTAACCCTTAGTTTGAAGCCGCTATCACGAGAACCAGTTACTCGACGATTCATTAATCCGTTTTGAGAGTTATTTTTCTCTTGATCTGATTTGATCAGATTCTCAAGCAGCTGCTTTCAAGAAAGTGAGCCAGTAAGTAGTTTCAACCAAAATGCGTCTGATTTTGATGGTAGCTTTATAATGCGGCTGCCGATCGCTCTCGGTCGGAGATAATCTAAGAGTAATCTGTTTTGCACTTAAGTAGTCGCTCACTACCCACTGTTTTAGGAGGGTGTTGTGTTGGCGGCACAGAATGCTGGATCACTGCTGATGGTGGTGACTGGACTTTGGGCTGATCGGATCAACGGTAAGTGGATGGTCGGCGGCAGCCTACTACTCTGTACCGTTGCCAACGCAGCTTTGCCAATGATGGCACATGTTAGCTTCTGGTACGCTGTTGCTGCGCGGCTTGCCACTGGTGCTGCTGACGCTTGCCTCACTCCCGCCGCAAACTCACTGATCACGCGATGGTTTCCACAAAGCGAACGTCCAGCCGCACTCGGCATCGTTACCGGAGGCAGGCAAATTGGTAAGCACTTGTAAGCTTTTCAGACACACGATAGTACCAATATGTACAGGCCACAGTCATATTAATCACGATAATTTTTTGACCGTTCCGTCGCATAAACTAATAAAGGTTAAAAGAAAATATCAGAAGAAGGAAACAGTGGAAGAAAAATAGGATATTAAGATAGGTAAGGGGTATATAAAAAAATTTTGTTATAGGTAAGAAATGTTTCGGTCCATTAAGTCGTATACATTTCTTACCGTTACCACAATTG